GCCCCTGGTGCAGGTCCAGTGGCAACATCGGAGAGGGTCCGAGCTGACTTGGGAGCCGGAGTTGGAGATGCGGGAGCAGCATCCAGAGTTGTTTGCTGAGCAAGACTTCGAGGGCGAAGTCTGATTCTAGTGGGGGAGAATTGTAACATCCGGATTCCCAGGTATCTTATTTTAAGTATTTATCTTGAGTTTTAGGGAGGGACTCGGCGAGTAGGCGCTCAGACTCGCCGAGTAGGATCGTGAATTCTTGCCCGATTTAATGAAGGACTCGACGAGTCGATGCGTGGACTCGGCGAGTCCGCGCTGTAAAATGAAACCCTAAATCCCAGGGCCTGAACCCTATTTAAAGGCCTTTATGGCCTCCATTTGCGGCTACTAGTCCAGAGAGAGATACCCTAGCGATTGTGAGCGAGTTGTGAGAGAGTTTGAGCCTTTTTGATCATTTTGGTGTGATTTTGCAAAGGAGAAAGTGTTTCCAGCAAGGGGAGGTCAAGAGGATTGCATTTCAGTGGATTTTCAGCTTGGATCTTCAAGTTTGAGGTAGCTATTCGATCCCATCCTCCTGTTTTGCTTAAGGGCGTTGAATTTAGGGTTTTCTATACCCTTTTATGGCTTGTTTAGTTGTGTATAGTGTCCCATTGAGTGCTAAACTCTAGATCTGGACCTTTTGCGGTCCAGAGAGCCTGAACCATGCTGCTTTTTGTGGTTCTATGGAGGAAATGGACATAGGTGGCCATGTTAGAAGGGATTTCACCAAAATAAGCCTTGGGAGCATTGCATGTGTAGCAAGATTCGACCTTTACGTGTTTATTGGTCATGGGGAAGTCAGATCTATAGATTATAGAAGCAGATCTGACCTCAGGAGGTCAGATGAGTGATGTCATGGGAGGAACTCGCCGAGTCCATAAGTGGACTCGACGAGTCGAGTCGGGTTGCCCCGCGATTCGCGACCTGTGATAACCCATTGAGTGTGGGGTTGACTCAGCAAGTCGAGTGAGGACCAGGGACGAAGAGGACATGCCTGTACTCGCCGAGTCTAGGTCAAAATTTGACTGTTGACTTTTGTTGACTTTTAGGGTTTGGTCAATATTAGGGTCTTTGAGCCATGAGAGGGGTGAAATGGTCTTTTACCCTTCTGAGAGTACTAAGAGAGGGCTTAGCCTAGACTTTGAAAGTCGTATTGATTAGAGTAACTATTTTATGTGATTAGGCGGAGGCTAGATCAGTATTTCCGAATCCGAGGGTTACCGAGTTATCCGAGGTGAGTTTTCTCACTATACTTTACCTTGAGTGGTAATTAGAGTTATGTGACAGAGTATCTTGTATGCTATGTATGTGATGTGTTGCACTGCATTATTTCTATGTGATTTATGTTGTGTGTATTCCAGAGTTTACAGAGTTAGGACCGGAAGGTCCATAGAGTTAGGGCCAGAGGGTCCACAGGGTTAGGGCCAGTGGGCCCACAGATTTATAGCCTCGAATGGCTAATATGTGTTATATGTGGTATTTTGGGGAACTCACTAAGCATTTATGCTTACAGTGTTTTGTGTTATGTGTTTCAGGTACCAGTGAGGATCGCGGGAAGGCGCCGGCATGATCAGTACACACCATTGGAGTTTTTGTACATTTTGATTTTGGGATGTGTTTTATGGATTTGATATGTGATACATTGGGATTTGAGAATATTTATGAATGAAGTTATATCTTTAAAAGTGAAAAATTGTTTTGAAATTTACGGTGTTACACTTTCCCATATTACCCCTCTGCTTCCATTGAACAATCGACAGTTTAAATCACTTATTCAACATCATACACCTCCAAAAGAGTCTAAAATCCATTCCCTTGAAACCCAAAGCCTTACATGGTCGAATTACGGTCCACAAACCCCGAATTAAGAAACGTCCCGAAACAGGATGTTGCAGACGAAGCCAGCCAATTTCAAAGTTGAAGCAACCTGCCGAATGCCAAAACCCTTCCCTTGGTTAGACTGATGAGCAATCGAAGGTTTTAAGTAGTTTGACAAAACAGTGTGTGTTAGATATTGGGATGAACAGATTGCTTGGATTCTCTGAAAGTCGTGATTCACTATCAAATTGAAGTATTACGATGGTACAGATTGAACACTCAATTGGATAAAATTCAAAGATTACAAAATCAAAGAATGTATGTTAAATGTTCTTGAAGAAGTGTACCAGAAAAATGACCAAAAATGGATATATGATTCATGTCTGAAAACTGTCACAAGATAGTTGCAAACTGTCATAAAAATGCCAAACCCTGTCATAAAAATGGGTCTTAGGAAAAGGGTAACTCGACCCCAACGAGGGGCTCTTCCCCTTAGACCTCGCCAGGGGATGCTGCCCCTTGGACCCCGCTCCCAGGGGCACTGCCCACGGACCCCCATTTGTTCATAAAGAAAAAACATTATCGAAACAAAATTTTAAGAATAAAAGTTGTAAAGAAAATTAAAGTTATGATGAATTCATAACAAAATTCTAAAATTTGGGCCAAAAGGGTAAATTTTGGACCAAATTTGTAATAAAATTTAAAATCTTGGCAAAAAGTGTAAAATTTGGACCAAATTTGTAATAGATTTTGAAATCTGGGCCAAAAATGTAGTTTTTGAAAGTTGGATGACCTGTTGACCGGGTAAAAGGGTTAAATTGAATATGATTACCGGTTTTTGGGACTTAATTGAATAAAAAAAGATATAAGGACAAAATCGATTATGAGGCCAATATGTAAGGACTTTGCAGTTTTCCCTCAAAATAATATTCAGTTAATAATTGGATCTCGACCCATAACCAAGAATCTAATCTACTTAGCCCATAACTAGGGTAAAAGACCATTTTACCCCTTTTCTAACTTGGCCTAAAGCCAAGGCCCAAACCAAGTACTTAAAAGGCCCAAATCCTAAATGGCAACCTAAAGCCCAATTATGGCCCAATCTTCTAAATTGGGCCCAAAACCCTTCATGGGTCTAAATACAAGGAAACCCAAAATACTAGTCAAAAGCCCAAATCAGAAGTCTAATGGCCCAACAAGGCCCAAACTTAGAAAGCCCAAACTATAGCCCAAACTGAGAATGTCAAGCCCAAATGTCCATCTACTGAGTACGTGGGGTGTACTCAGCTTGTACACACAGTGTACGCCTCAGGCTCCCAAACTACTTCATTAAGCACTTAAATTGTTAAGACCTTTTGCCAAATTCTCAGATGTGATCCCTAAGGGTGACTTATCACGTAAAGTTGGCAACTTTACACTCATGCATGACTTAAATGGACTCAAAGCTGAAAAATGAGATTAATAAAGATCTTAATGCTTACATGGACCGATATCCTTCATAAAGTTTGCACTTTTATGAACATGGGGCCTTAATGGAGCTAAGATCTAACAAGCATTGCTTCTGGAGTAGATCAAAAGCTCAACTTTAACTTAAAAGACTCAAAAGTACATAAACAACCTATAAACTAGATCTAGCACAAAAGACCATCAAGGTGAGAGCTTTTTACCTCAAAAGGCTTGCAAAGGTGAAGGTAACTCTGGATCTACAAGCTCAAGCTATTCCTCCAATTTTTTCTCTTCTTCTTCATCATCACAAAACACCAACAAACACACTTTCAAGCTCAAATCTCACCAAATGCACTTAGGGTTTCGTTTTTAGGGTCAAGGGAGATGGAGGCTGATTAAAAATGTCCAAGAGGTGCTATAATGAGGTTTAAATAGGGTGTAAACCCTAAAAATTAGGGTTTGCCCCTACACCACGTACGCCATGCTTACTCACGTACGCCCCACGTACGTGGATGAAACCTGTGATCAGGAATGGGTTAGTACGCTAAGCGTACTCATAGAGTACGCCCCACGTACTAGATGGGGACCAAATTGTTAACAAATTTGCGTTAAGGGCTAAAAGGAAACTTACCACATTACGAGTGTTACATAGAAAATACTACTTCGGAGATTCCGTTGCAATATATGTCAATAAGGCAACCATGGGGGGGGGGGGGGGGAATAGAGTACTCAAATGAAAACATAATCCATACTCCTGGATAATATGATTCATTAACACCTACAGACTGTGAGTGTGTTGGTGTTCCACTAGACTGTCTAGAAGACTTTATGGTCGTCATTAATACTCTACTAGATTACTGGTCTCGGTAGTACAGTAGTACAATGTTGGGCATGGTCTCTCACCATTATTTTATCTCTTTCTCAACCCTTTTCCACCCAATATTTTATAAATACGGTAAAATACATATACGGATAAATCAAGTAAAATCATACCATATTATTGCATCTAGCACAAATATCAAGAACACGTATGGTTAGATTACTCCAGATTTTACCTTGTGTGGGGCTCATATATATATATATATATATATATATATATATATAATATATATATATATATATATATATATATATATATATATATTAGATATATATATATAACAATGGGCTACAGTATTAGGCGAATGCAAACTAACTTAAAGTGTAGAACTTACATATAACAATGTTGGGTATGGTCTCTCACAATTATCAAATGCAAAGTAACTTAAAGTGTAGAACTTACTTGATTTGACGAATCCATACTAAAAATTTGGTCTGAAATGCAGGTAGATCGTGATTCAGATATGCTAATTCTGGAACGTGTATTCCAGATTTTATCTTGTGTGAGACTCATATATATATATATATATATATATATATATATATATATATATATATATATATATATATATATATACCAATGGACTACAATATTAGGTTTGGGCCGGTTTTCGGGTACAGAATGACCAATTCTGGACCAAAATATTATTTTTCTTCAAAAAAAAAAAAAAAGCTTTATCATATTAAAAAAAATCCAAAAAATTGGTTAGATTACTCTCAATGTCCCAATAATATTTTATTATAATCTTATGATGATACAATATTTAGAGCTATACAAATGATATAGGGTTAAAGACAAATAAACACTGTTTGTGCCTACTCAGCTTCATGGCGTGGAAAGTTTGGAATTGGACGCGGTCAGCGCCGCGCCCGCTAGGGGCTTCTCTGTAGCCTCTCTTCTCCGACACTATTACATTCGACACCATTTTTCTCACTCTTTTTCTCCTTCATTTCTATCCGCTTTCCCTCTCTCTTACTTCTTTACTCTCTTTTCTCTCGCATTTCCATCTGCACTAGCCGCCCCCTCGGCAGTCGCCAGTCGACAGTCGCCACCGCTCTCACCTCCGATGAAACCTCATAAGACGCTCTCGTCTTCTTCTCTTCTTAGCATCCCACCACTCGTTTCTGTTCATGTAATCGTTTTTAATAATCCGAACCTTATAACTCTCTAGTTTTCAGCCTTCAAGCAGAGTGGAATGATCAGTTGCGAATCACTGATTCAGGTGATTTTTTTTTAATCATAAAAGTTTTTAATTAATTTGATTAATATCTTTTTTTATATCTGTTTTCGATTCACTAGACGATCGGTGTAATTCAAGCCGGTGATAATACCCTTTTGATTTCTGCTTTCGATTCGATCGCTGTAATTCAATCCGGCTACGGGATTTTACAACCTGGTTCTTACAAGACTGTGAGTATTTAGTTTTTTTCAAAAGTATGCGATTTTTGATTATTTTTCATGCAACTTCCGTTCTTTTCGATCTGGTGTTACTTTAGCTATTTAATGAAGTTATTGTTGAATTATTTTTAGATCTAGGATAAAAAGACACGTAAGAAGTGAAATAAATGCGCCTTTTTGTAGGAAATCTTGAACTGTACTTTTATATATATGAAAGACTCGACAAAGGACAAATTTTAAATGTAGGACCTATTTGCAAATTACGTGAATTGACAAACACGTTCATTTTTCAATCATACACATGATAGAATTTAAATTTGATTCTAATAATTAGAATTTATATAAATTGCAGTGTATACAAACCGTTAGTGCAGACAAACATTTCTCTTAATGGGTCATCCACATAAGGGAAGCAATAAGAGAAGAGGCAAGAAACAAAGCCAACCAATTTCAAATTTGAAGCAACACCCTACCCTTGGTCAGACTGCTGAGGAATCTATGGTTTTGAGCAGTTTGATGAAAACAGAAGAGAGTGGGTTGTTTAACTCTACCATAGTGGAAGAGGATGCTGATGCTGCAGTATTGATAGGGGATATGACAGATACAACGACCCTTTTGAGTGACGAAGACGATAATTGGACAGATACTTCTTTTGATTTCACAGATAATGCTTCGTGCTCAAACTCTGATATTTCGTATATATCTGGTAATACGGACAAGCATATTGTTGCTTCTAGGATGATGTCAGATGTATCAGGGAATTCTTCTAACAAGATAATGCTAACATGGGTTCTGAAGGTAAGTGAACCTACATGGCTACATGTTATTTTCTTGATTTTGTGGCCACTCAATTAATTTTCATATTGTTTTCAGGCATGGGAAGCAATTACTTGTTTAAGTGAGCCCTCATCCGAGCTTTCCAAGAACACACAACATCACAACTCAAACACAACGATTGAAGATGTTAGAGTTTGTTTTGAAAAATGCAGCATACAAGTAAGTTTGTTATATGCTTTTCATTATGTAGGTTCTAAATATGGATCATTTGTCTGTAAATGATGCATGATCACCATGAACTTTTTGGAAATTGGTGATGGTAAGTTTTTCGTTATCTAATAATATATTCTTGTGACTATGAATCCTGTGTGACAGGACCCCGGTAGAAAGTCATGCCTACCTTTGTCATCTAATAATGATCTTCAGACATGGCCTGCTTTAACTCCTATCAAGCCCTCATTTGAGTTTTCGAAGAGTAGAGATCAACACAATTCAAACATAAAAGTTGTTTCTGATGTTCTTGAAAAAAGTTACGGTGTAAGTAACTTGTTCTTTATGTATATTTAAATTATATGAATTTTATTCTAATGGTTTTACATATGGATGATGTGCCTAATAATTGTGCGTGATCAACATGAATTTTTTCTGTTATATAATATATTCTTATGGCTATGAATCCTTTGTGACAGTTAACTGGTGGGGCTTCTTACATTGCCTCATCATCTAATAGTGATCTCCACGAGGGTAATATGTCAGTCAAGAGGTTGTAATTAATTTGTCATATACTATATTACCTTGTTTTGTATTGATATAAGATGATTTTGGTGTTAATCAAATTTCATTTGGATGATTGCGGGAGGGAGATTTGTGAATTAGTTTATTAGAATTTTTTTTGTTGCTGGAAAAAAACGAAGATTTGCAATATGTTGTTTTGTATTGATATCAGATGACTTTGGTGTTAATAAAATTTCATTTGTATGACTACGGGAGGGAGATTTGTGAATCAATTAGAATTTATTTTTGTCATTGGAAAAAAATGAAGATTTGATGTTTATCAATATTGTGAAAAGTAGTCCAACATCTTATTTTGACCATTTGTAATTTTCGTTTAGGAGTTGGCGTGAAGTTCTTGTTGGCCCTGGAACTTCCTCTGAACAGACTCGGACTCGGGACATTAAAGGAAAGAGTCCATTACATGATCCAGATAGTTGGGTGAAGATAGTAAAAAAAGGGTCACACACTCGGGACTCTAGAGGAAAGAGTGCATTACATGATCCAGATAGTTGGGTGAAGGTAGTAAAAAAAGGGTCACACATGCAAAAACTTGATTATCCTTCAAAAGACACCGCAAAAAAGCAGCATATTCCTGGTAAGTAAAATATAAATATGGTTTCGCTTTGGAAAATTCAACGATCCATTTTAGGTTTCTTAGGTTTAGGCTCAGTATGTTAGAAATAGATAATTCTAAGAAGGGTGAAAACAGAGAGGAAAGCTTTGTTCTTTTTATTTCATGAAAGGATGATAACACCAAACTGAACAGGAACAATATTTATAGTCGATGTGAAGTATTTCAGAGGTCTCTTACAACCTAACATCTTCTTAACTGATGCAAAACTTTAAATGAAAGAGTTAAAACAGGTGAAGAACTAAATGTGGGGACACAAAAGGTCTCATGCGTCAACACTCCTCCTTGAGACTTTTGCTGTAACACCAAGTTTGGATCGAAGGAACTCAAACTTCCCTTTTGGCAAGGCTTTGGTTAGAATATCTGCAAGTTGAAACTCTGAGGGGCAATGGACAAGCTTCACAAGTTTTTCCTGTTGATCATCTCGAAGTGCATAGAACTTGACCTTCATGTGTTTTGTCTTGCTGAAACAAACTGGATTTTTTGAAATGGAAATGGCTGATTTATTGTCAACGAACACATCAGTAGCATAATCTTGCTTGAATCCCATGTCTGCAAAGATCTTCCTCAACCATACAACTTGATTAGCAGTAGCTGAAGCTGCAATATATTCAGCCTCTGCAGTGGACTGAGCTACAACTTCTTGTTTCTTGGAAATCCACGAAAACACTCCCGAGCCAAATGAGAAGGCATAACCTGAGGTGCTTTTCATGTCATCTTGGGAACCACCCCAGTCACTATCAGAATAAGCAATTAACTTCGGATCAGAACATGGTTGATAAAGAATTCCATGATCAGTAGTACCCCGCAAATATCTTAGAGTCCTTTTTGCAGCACCCATATGAATTTCACTTGGCTCATTCATAAACCTTGACAATATGCTTGCAGAAAACATTAAATCTGGTCGTGTTGCTGTCAAGTATAACAAGCTTCCAACTAAGCTCCTGTACTGTCTAGGATCAATCTTTTTGCTTCCATCATTTCTAGAATACTTTTCATTTACCACTAGGGGTGTTGCTACTGCTTTGGAACACTGCATTTTGAACTTCTTGAGGATATCTTCTGCATACTTGGTTTGGGAAATAAAAATCCCATCTTCTGATTGTTGAACCTCCATGCCAAGAAAGTAATTCATTAAACCCAAGTCAGTCATCTCGAACTTCTTCTTCATCTCCACCTTGAATGTAAGGATCATCTTTGAATTATTTCCTGTAACAAGAAGATCATCGACATAGAGGGATATAATAAGCAAATCATTTTTTCCTTGCTTCTTTATGTACAAAGTGTGCTCATTTTTGCTTCTCTCAAAGCCTTGCTCAACGAGATAAGAGTCTATTTTACTGTACCAAGCGCGCGGGGCCTGTTTTAGGCCATAGAGAGCTTTTTTCAGTTTGCACACCTTCTCTTCTTTCCCTTCAACAATGAATCCATATGGTTGCTCGACGTAAATATCTTCCTCAAGTTCGCCATTTAGAAATGCAGATTTAACATCAAGTTGAAATATTTTCCACCTTTCTTGAGCTGCTAATGCAATTAGTGTCCTTATGGTGTCATGTCTAGCCACAAGAGCGAAAGTGTCTCCATAGTCTAGCCTTGTGTTTGCTGATAGTTCCATCAGGGTTTAACTTAGTTTTGTAGACCCATTTCACGCCAATCACCTTTCGATCGCTTGGCCTATCGACCAACTCCCATGTTTCATTTTTCTCTATCATTTTCATTTCGTTCTCCATAGCATCTTGCCATTGTTTGTGTTTTGAGGCTTCAGAATAATCGTGTGGCACATCAGTAGCAAAGAAACACCTCTCACATTGTTCAACATCTAAGTGAATAATTGGACAGTCTTCATATACATCAGAAAGTGATCTTTTACCTCTAGGACCTGTGGCACTTTTTGAGTTTGAACCCGATGTTGGTGAGTCTGCATGTGTAGGAGATGACGGAGGCGTATGAGAATCAGAATGCACATCATTGTTGTTAACCTCATATGATTCTTGAGGTTTTTGTTGATGAGGAGGATCATAGACTACATTCATTTTCCTTTCAAGCTTTCCCTCTTCCCAATTCCAGATTGCATCTTCATCCACTTCCACGTCTCTACTCACGATGACCTTCTCGGTGTTTAGGTTATAAATCCTGTAACCTTTTGACAAACTGAACCAAATACTTTTAAATGTTTTGCTGTTGGCCTTTTCCCATTCCAGGCTTCAATTGGAGTTTTCTCATGAACCGCCTTAGTAGGTAGTCTATTTAGCAGATATACGGCTGTGTAAACAGCATCCGCCCAAAATTTCTTTGGCATTTTCTTTTCTGCGAGTATGCATCTGGCCATTTCCATGACGGTTCTGTTCTTTCTTTCGGAAACTCCATTTTGTTGAGGCGTGTATGCGACTATAAGTTGTCGTTCGACGCCTTCATCTTCACAAAATCTATCAAATTCCACCGCAGTATACTCCTTTCCTCGATCAGATCTCAACATTTTCAACTTGCAACCACTTTGAGTTTCAGCAAGAATTCTAAACTTCTTGAAAATGCTAAAAACTTCTGATTTTTCCTTCATGAAATACACCCAAGTCATCCGACTGAAATCATCAATGAACAAGATGAAATATTTGTTCCCATTAAGAGATGTTGTTCTTTGGGGACCACATACATCTGTATGCACGAGGTCTAACTTTCCCTTTGCTCTCCAAGCTTGTCCTTTCTGAAATGGTAGTTTATGTTGCTTCCCGAGTTGGCAAGGCTCACAAACATCTTTTGAAACATGGATCGAGGGAAAGTCCCTAACCATACCCTTCTTATGTAGGTAATTTAATGCACGTACATTGAAGTGCCCATATCTTCTATGCCACAACCAGGTACTTTCCATATTAGCTCTGTTTAATTTCTCTGAAGGATATTTCCATATCAAGGGGAAGCTTTTATTCTCCACCACAACTTCAACAATCTTTTTCTTTGCAGGATCTTTTATAGTGCAACGGTCATCCTTAAAGAGAACTGAGTATCCGTTCTTAATCATTTGAGCCACGCTAAGAAAATTCTCAGCAAGATCTGGAACAAGAAGAACATCATTGATATATTTCGTACCTTCATTTGTTTCCATAGCAATAGTACCCTTGCCTAAGGACTTAGAAACAACTTCATTCCCCATACGCACCGGTACTTTGACAGAGTAATCCAACATGTAGAAGATGCTTGAATTATTTGTCATATGATTAGTGCAGCCGCTGTTGATAAACCAAATTTCCTTGTTGCTCGAGGCTGATGCTTGGCGCGCACAAAACAAATAATCTTCATCCATGTTGGTACTTGAGAATTGCGCTTCTGCCTTGGACTCCTTTTGCTTTTGTCTACAATCTTTTTCGACATGACCATATTTCATGCAATGTCGACATTGAGGTTTCCCTTTGAAATAGCAATCTTTTTCTACAGGATTTGTCTTCTTACAAGTTCCACAAGGAGGAAATTTTCCTTTTGATTGTGGAGCTTGTTTTTTATGATTTTCGCTGGAATCTCCATAACTTTTCTTCTTCCAAGAGTTGTTTTTAGGACCTGATTGCTTTTGTTTATCATCGGACCGGAAGACTTCTTCGGATGAACTTTCTGTTGCTTTTTTGAGTTTTTGATCGTGTAGTTGCAAAGAACTCATCAGCTCTGTAACGCTAAGTTGGGATAAATCCTTTGATTCTTCAATTATAGTGGCGATTGTATTGTACCTGTTGGTCAATGTCGCAAGAATTTTTTGCACAATTCTTGCATCAGAGATGTCTTCTCCGTAAGTTTTCATTTGGTTTACAACTTCAAGTAATCTAGAAGTGTAAACCTTTGTATCTTCATTCTCCTTCATTTTCATATTTTCAAAATCTTTTCTTAGATAATTTAGGCGAGCGGTTCTTACTCTCTCATCCCCTTGAAACTCCTCCTCAAGGGATTGCCATACTGATTTTGCAGATAATGCTCGCATAATTCTGGGAAATATGGTGTGTGTGACAGCGTTAAGTATATAGGACAAAGCTTTGGCGTCTTTAAGCTCATCTTCCTTCAACTTCTGTAATTGAGCTTCTGTATACTGGACTCCTTCAGCTTTTTGTTGAAAGCCAGTTTCCACTATCTCCCATAGTGTGTTCGCTTTTAAGAAGAGCTTCATTTTAATGCACCAGTATTCATAATTTTCTCCATCAAAGACAGGAGGTGCTGGTGTAGAGAATGTTATTGCAGATGTACCGGCCATTCTTGCAAACTGGATTGATTTTCTGGCCCTTAAGATCCTTGTTGCTCTGATACCACTTGTTAGAAATAGATAATTCTAAGAAGGGAGAAAACAGAGAGGAAAGCTTTGTTCTTTTTATTTCATGAAAGGATGATAACACCAAACTGAACAGGAACAATATTTATAGTCGATGTGAAGTATTTCAGAGGTCTCTTACAACCTAACATCTTCTTAACTGATGCAAAACTTTAAATGAAAGAGTTAAAACAGATGAAGAACTAAATGTGGGGACACAAAAGGTCTCATGCGTCAACACAGTATTTTAAAAAAGCCCCCCGACCATTTATGTGTGTTTCATAATTGATGTAATTTTGATATTTGTTTGTGTGTGAAGGGGACGATTATAAGAAGTACAGGCATAACGCAAATCAACATTGGAAAATCCAAAAATCCCTCGTTGAGCAGGCAATAATGTTTTTTGTATCGTTTTTAGGCTTTCATTAATGTTCTTGTATATAAGCTGAGCTTTCATTTTCATTCTATACACAGGCTAGAAATGAATATGCAAGTGGAAAATGGGATGATGGGGTAACTCTCTCGGATCAGGTTGGTACACAGAGAGAAAGAGAGGGAGAAGTCTCCCTCTGTAAATGCTACTGAAACACCTTTCTCTTGAGTGGTTGGTGAGAATTCATAAGAGAGGTCTTAGGTTTTAAGCCTGAGCATCACATTTCTAGGAAATGCTTACGTAGTGACTTGAGTTTATAACTTTTTATGCAGGCAAGGATGTGGAAGGAAAAAGCTGAGCAAGCTGATGAAAAGGCTAGCCAGGATATTTTTGATTCAAGGTTTGTCACTGTGCATTGGAGGTGGCAACAAAGCCAACTGTTATTTACATATACATATACATATATATGTTGATATTGTTATTGAATACAGGAACAAAAATAACGTTGTAGATTTGATGACAATCGATTTACATGGACAACATGTGAAAGAGGGAATGACGATACTAAAATATCACCTTGCATTTGGTGTATATGGTCGCTGTAGGTATCTTTTTCGTCAATATATATATATATATATATATATACACACACACACACACACACACATTGTGTTTTTGATTAATATACAGCTCTGCGGCGGCTCCGCGTCATCACCGGATATGGGAGTGGAGGAACTGGGCAGTCGATGCTGAAACAGGCGGTATGAAATCATGTCTTTTTTATTGTAGAAAAGAGCATTACCTAATTAACTGCTTCAAGGATCAATCATCTCATGTTTTTGTGCAGCTTAAGATGTCTGAATGTTTGTTATAGGTTGTTGATCTCTTAAAAACGGAGAAATTTGAGTGGGAGAAAGAAAACGAAGGTAGTCTTCTAATCAAATTCGACATGAAGAAGAGAAAGTTGGGGTTTGTGAAATTGTAGTTACTCTCATTAATCTTTTTTCCTTTCATTTTTTCTTTGGACAATTTGTTGTATGAGAATGAAACAAATATGTGCTCCATTTCCCAAAACACTTTTGATCATCGGTTAACTTACACTTTTCAGAAATGATATTTACGCAATGATCAACGGTTATTTTTATAGAAGTATCAAATAAAATTATTTGGAAAACATAATAAGTAAGATGGCTCTATAAGATTAGAGAACATCTTTATTGAGTTATTTGTTTTCTATATTCCACACCTTTTTATCACTTGTAATAATATTTTTTACAAAAATAATATTAAATACAATAACATTCATAACTCCAATAAATATGATAAGATAAGATATAGAACCTTAAATACCAAGAGAGGTTTTTTCACCGGAGTTTCTTTATGTGTGAGGATTTGATTTAGAACCAAGAAATATCAAAAAACCAATTCACCATTCGGTTACCAGCTTTTTCTTGGTGTATGGTGTTGATTAAACAAAGGAAAGAAGGATAGATGGTGTTAAGAAGAACAGAGATGTTCCAACTTCCGATCTTTCTGATGAGGAGATGTTCCGACGTATACGTATACGGACTTCGGACGTCCACCATGCTGCTGCTATGGACAAGAGGGTTGTCCTGACTTTGGACACGTCAAAAGCTAATCAAGTGAGTGAAGGGGTACTTAATAGTTAATATTTATCTTTTGATTCCTTGGCCCCACAACACAACCTTATCCTAAATTCCTAATTCTCGTCTCTATTTTCTCCGAGTCCACTTAAGGAGCCAAATACTTTGACTGGCTGGCTGTTTTGTATAGCCCACTAAATCGTCCAGCCTTCTTCCTACTCCAGTTGGGCCCACTTTAAGACCCAACAAATACTCTAAATATCGACAGCACCATGCATTCAACCACATAATGTACGTTTTATAATCCTTCTTTTAAATCCTCTAAAACATTATCTAATGATTTTCGTGACACTATTGCAAGAAATGATACTAGATCATTTAATCCGCTTTTGTATGTGTCCTTCTTGCAATAGTGTCACGAAAATCATTAGATAATGTTTTAGAGGATTTAAAAGAAGGTTTGTAAAACGTACATTATGTGGTTGAATGCATGGTGCTGTCGATATTTAGAGTATTTGTTGGGTCTTAAAGTGGGCCCAACTGGAGTAGGAAGAAGGCTGGACGATTTAGTGGGCTATACAAAACAGCCAGCCAGTCAAAGTATTTGGCTCCTTAAGTGGACTCGGAGAAAATAGAGACGAGAATTAGGAATTTAGGATAAGGTTGTGTTGTGGGGCCAAGGAATCAAAAGATAAATATTAACTATTAAGTACCCCTTCACTCACTTGATTAGCTTTTGACGTGTCCAAAGTCAGGACAACCCTCTTGTCCATAGCAGCAGCATGGTGGACGTCCGAAGTCCGTATACGTATACGTCGGAACATCTCCTCATCAGAAAGATCGGAAGTTGGAACATCTCTGTTCTTCTTAACACCATCTATCCTTCTTTCCTTTGTTTAATCAACACCATACACCAAGAAAAAGCTGGTAACCGAATGGTGAATTGGTTTTTTGATATTTCTTGGTTCTAAATCAAATCCTCACACATAAAGAAACTCCGGTGAAAAAACCTCTCTTGGTATTTAAGGTTCTATATCTTATCTTATCATATTTATTGGAGTTATGAATGTTATTGTATTTAATATTATTTTTGTAAAAAATATTATTACAAGTGATAAAAAGGTGTGGAATATAGAAAACAAATAACTCAATAAAGATGTTCTCTAATCTTATAGAGCCATCTTACTTATTATGTTTTCCAATTAATTTTATTTGATACTTCTATAAAAATAACCGTTGATCATTGCGTAAATATCATTTCTGAAAAGTGTAAGTTAACCGATGATCAAAAGTGTTTTGGGAAATGGAGCACATATTTGTTTCATTCTCATACAACAAATTGTCCAAAGAAAAAATGAAAGGAAAAAAGATTAATGAGAGTAACTACAATTTCACAAACCCCAACTTTCTCTTCTTCATGTCGAATTTGATTAGAAGACTACCTTTGTTTTCTTTCTCCCACTCAAATTTCTCCATTTTTAAGAGATCAACAACCTATAACAAACATTCAGACATCTTAAGCTGCACAAAAACATGAGATGATTGATCCTTGAAACAGTTAATAAGTTAATGCTCATTTCTAGAATAAAAAAGACATGATTTCATACCGCCTGCTTCAGCATCGACTGCCCAGTTCCTCCACTCCCATATCCGGTGATGACGCGGAGCCGCCGCAGAGCTGTATATCACAGCGATTAAAAAACAATCGAAATCACAATATGTGTGTGTGTGTGTATATATATATATATATATATATATATATATATATATATATATATATATATATATATGACGAAACAGATACTTACAGCGACCATATACACCAAATGCAAGGTGATATTTTAGTATGGTCATTCCCTCTTTCACATGTTGTCCATGTAAATCGATTGTCATCAAATCTACAATGTTATTTTTGTTCCTGTATTCAATGACAATATCAACATATATATATGTATATGTATATGTAAATAACAGGTTGGCTTTGTTGCCACCTCCAATACACATACACAGTGACAAACCTTGAATCAAAAATATCCTGGCTAGCCTTTTCATCAGCTTGCTCAGCTTTTTCCTTCCACATCCTTGCCTGCATAAAAAGTTATAAACTCAAGTCACTACGTAAGCAAGGTGATGCTCAGGCTTAAAACCTAAGACCTCTCTTATGAATTCTCACCAACCACTCAAGAGAAAGGTGTTTTAGTAGCATTTACAGATGGAGACTTCTCCCTCTCTTTCTACCATGTACCAACCTGATCCGAGAGAGTTACCCCATCATCCCATTTTCCACTTGCATATGCAATTTTAGCCTGCAGTATAGAATGAAAATGAAAGCTCAGCTTATATGGAAGAACATTAATGAAAGCCCAAAAGCGATACAGTAAACATTATTGCCTGCTCAACGAGGGACTTTTGGATTTCCCAGTGTTGATTTGCGTTATCCTGTACTTCTTATAATCATCCCCTTCACACACACAAACAAATTAATATCAAAATTACATCAATTATTAAACACACATAAATGGTCGGGGCTTCTTTTAAAATACCGAGCCTAAACCTAATGGATCGTTGAAATTTCCGAAGCGAAACAATATTTATATTTTACTTACCAGGAATATGCTGCTTTTTTGCGGTGTCTTTTGAAGGATAGTCAAGTTTTTGCATGTGTGACCCTTTTTTTACTACCTTCACCCAACTATCTGGATCATGTAATGCACTCTTTCCTTTAGAGTCCCGAGTGTGTGACCCTTTTTTTACTATCTTCACCCAACTATCTGGATCATGTAATGGACTCTTTCCTTTAATGTCCCGAGTCCGAGTCTGTTCAGAGGAAGTTCCAGGGCCAACAAGAACTTCACGCCAACTCCTAAACGAAAATTACAAATGGTCAAAATAAGATGTTGGACTACTTTTCACAATATTGATAAACATCAAATCTTGATTTTATTCCACTAACAAAAATAAATTCTAATTGATTCACAAATCTCCCTCCCGTATTCATACAAATGAAATTTTATTAACACCAAAGTCATCTGATATCAATACAAAACAACATATTGCAAATCTTCGTTTTTTTCCAGCAACAAAAAAAATTCTAATAAACTAATTCACAAATCTCCCTCCCGCAATCATCCAAATGAAATTTGATTAACACCAAAATCATCTTATATCAATACAAAACAAGGTAATATAGTATATGACAAATTAATTACAACCTCTTGAATGACATATTACCCTCGTGGAGATCACTATTAGATGATGAGGCAATGTAAGAAGCCCCACCAGTTAACTGTCATAAAGGATTCATAGCCATAAGAATATATTATATAACAGAAAAAATTCATGTTGATCATGCACGATTATTAAGCACATCATCATCATCATCCATATGTAAAACCATTAGAATAAAATTCATATAATTTAAATATACATAAAGAACAAGTTACTTACACCGTAACTTTTTTCAAGAACATCAGAAACAACTTTTATGTTTGAATTGTGTTGATCTCTACTCTTCGAAAACTCAAATGAGGGCTTGATAGGAGTTAAAGCAGGCCATGTCTGAAGATCATTATTAGATGACAAAGGTAGATATGACTTTCTACGGGGGTCCTGTCACAAAGGATTCATAGTCACAAGAATATATTATTAGATAACGAAAACTTACCATCACAAATTTCCAAAAAGTTCATGGTGATCATGCATCATTCCCAAACAGATGATCCATATTTAGAACCTTCAGAATGAAAAGCATATAACAAACTTACTTGTATGCCACATTTTTCAAAACAAACTCTAACATCTTCAATCGTTGTGTTTGAGTTGTGATGTTGTGTGTTCTTGGAAAGCTCGGATGAGGGCTCACTTAAACAAGTAATTGCTTCCCATGCCTGAAAACAATATGAAAATTAATTGAGTGGCCACAAAATCAAGAAAATAACATGTAGCCATGTAGGTTCACTTACCTTCAGAACCCATGTTAGCATTATCTTGTTAGAAGAATTCCCTGATACATCTGACATCATCCTAGAAGCAACAATATGCTTGTCCGTATTACCAGATATATACGAAATATCAGAGTTTGAGCACGAAGCATTATCTGTGAAATCAAAAGAAGTATCTGTCCAATTATCGTCTTCGTCACTCAAAAGGGTCGTTGTATCTGTCATATCCCCTATCAATACTGCAGCATCAGCATCCTCTTCCACTATGGTAGAGTTAAACAACCCACTCTCTTCTGTTTTCATCAAACTGCTCAAAACCATAGATTCCTCAGCAGTCTGACCAAGGGTAGGGTGTTGCTTCAAATTTGAAATTGGTTGGCTTTGTTTCTTGCCTCTTCTCTTATTGCTTCCCTTATGTGGATGACCCATTAAGAGAAATGTTTGTCTGCACTAACGGTTTGTATACACTGCAATTTATATAAATTCTAATTATTAGAATCAAATTTAAATTCTATCATGTGTATGATTGAAAAATGAACGTGTTTGTCAATTCACGTAATTTGCAAATAGGTCCTACATTTAAAATTTGTCCTTTGTCGAGTCTTTCATATATATAAAAGTACAGTTCAAGATTTCCTACAAAAAGGCGCATTTATTTCACTTCTTACGTGTCTTTTTATCCTAGATCTAAAAATAATTCAACAATAACTTCATTAAATAGCTAAAGTAACACCAGATCGAAAAGAACGGAAGTTGCATGAAAAATAATCAAAAATCGCTACTTTTGAAAAAAGATACTCACAGTCTTGCAAGAACCAAGTTGTAAAATCCCGTAGCCGGATTGAATTACAGCGATCGTGTAGAGAATCGAAAGCAGAAATCAAAAGCGTATTATCACCGGCTTGAATTACACCGATCGTCTAGTGAATCGAAAACAGATATCAAAAAATATTAATCAAATTAATTAAAAACTTTTATGATAAAAAAAAATTCACCTGAATCCGTGATTCGCAACTGATCATTCCACTCTGCTTGAAGGCTGAAAACTAGAAAGTTATAAGGTTCGGATTATTAAAAACGATTACATGAACAGAAACGAGTGGTGGGATGCTAAGAAGAGAAGAAGACGAGAGCGTCTTATGAGGTTTCACCGGAGGTGAGGGCGGTGGCGACTGTCGACTGGCGACTGGCGAGGGGGCGGCTAGCGCAGATGAAAATGCGAGAGTAAAGAAGTAAGAGAGAGGGAAAGCGGATAGAAATGAGGAGAAAAAGAGTGAGAAAAATGGTGTCGAATGTAATAGTGTCGGAGAAGAAAGGCGATAGAGAAGGCCCCTAGCGGGCGCGGCGCTGACCGCGTCCAATTCCAAACTTTTCACGCCATGAAGCTGAGTAGGCACAAACAGTGTTCATTTGTCTTTAACCCTATATCATGAGTTTTTTACCAAATAAATTTATTTACAAAATGGGTTATTAAAAGAGTCATTTTCTTTCCTTTGTTGCAGTGTTGCAAAAATCCCGACTAGGTCCAGATTAATCTCCGATTAATCCCTAGGCGCTACTCGACCGATTAAAAAGCGCCTAACGATTAATCCCTGCATACACAATAAGTGTAGCAGTAGAACCCGATAAAATTTTAACATTTTGAATAAATTATATTTCAATAGAAACTATTTAAGATATGATTTGTGTTGTATTAATCATATTAACCTATTTTGTTATCATATTAGTGGTATTTACGAACTTTTATAAGATATTAGTCATATTTAATTTTTTAAAGTTCAACAAACTAGCAATTAATGGTCACCGATTAATCCCCCGATTAATCTCCGCCTAGCCGATTAATCCTTTTACCCCAGCCACCGACTAGCTAACATCGAACGATTTTTACAACCTTGCTTTGTTGACATGAACAAAAATAAAGCCAATATTCATATCACATAGTGATGAAAATTTCACTTTAGTAATTATTTATTTTTTTCAATATATATATATATATATATATATATATATATATATATATATATATATATATATTAGTTTTTGTTGTGAATGTTACCAATTTTTTACAAACATCATTATAATCAATAATTTTTTAAATATAAACCAACAAAGGCTTCTTACAAAAACCAAATTACAAACAATATTTACAAATAAAAGCAATTAACTTATTCAAAACGTTCTAAAAGAAGTTACAAAAATGCTTCACAAAACATATGTGAAGCTTGGATAATAAAGTTACAAAATGAAAACGAATTGAGCCCTTCTTGTCATCTTCATTTCCTTTCTCACTTCTCAACCTTGGATTTGTGAAACTTTCCATGGGCACTCCTAATAAACCTGCCACCTTTCATATTCCAGGATGTTACAACATTCAATGGTGAATAGGGTCTATGAGGTAAAGATTTTTTTTTTCAATATGGGCATTTTAACAAATGCTTAGCGGGCATATCCACATATCCACTTTAACCAGAATATGGTGATTAAGTACAGATCAAATGAACACTTTTTAGAAATTAACAAATCTAATTAACATTCTTTTCAAGCAGGGAAAAATCAGATCCAAACATTTTTTAGGATAGCAATTGGACTTAATATTTGGTTTTCACCGGTTTGTAACAAATTACAATTCAAAATTGGCATTGGCACCACAAAGAACCCTTTGATACAAAACTCAACTTAAACAATCCCTGCTAATCTAGCTTCAAAAGGAAATCAACTGATTCACTCAAGAAAACAGAGAGATTTCACCGAAGAATTTCAAGAACCACAAATGATTTTCAAAATTAACAAGAAAAAACCCTAGATTATCTGTTTTCCGGCGTCTCCGATGGCAAGCCTTTGTGTCGGCGCCATGCGATTAAGGATGAAACTATTATAATAATTGAAGCTGAGATGATCGCGGTCTGTAGGAGTAACGGAGGTCAAGTCTGGTGTGGCCGAAGAGACGAATCATAGATGGCGTCGTTGGTAATTTCGTCCTTGCGGCTTCCATCGATCGTTTAGTAAACAATGGTTTAGGGTAAGTTTATTACCATATTATATTTTTTAAACCATACTTGTTTGGTAAATAAGTTTTTCAAAAACACCTCTTTTGTCAAAAACTCCTTATATCATTTGTATAGCTCTAAATATTGTATCATCATAAAATCATAATAAAATATTATTTATTTGTATATAATTAATTTAAATTAATTATAACTTTATCAAATCAGTATCTATTAAATAAACAAACTGTATATAATTGATTAGAATTAGAATTAGAATTACTTATGTTATATCTTACTTATATAGGTTGTCATAAATATTTAACATGTTTTAAAATATTAAAATGTAACTAAATTTTTATTTAAATTTGAAAAATAAAGATTATATTTTGTACATGTTCGGTATAAAACTTTTAAAAACTTTTAACTTCTAGCTTTTAAGAATAATCTCGAAATAAAGAAAAAGTTTTGTTGGACAACATAAGCTTTTTAGCTTTTTGAGTTAAACAAAAAACTTCTAATTCAAAAACTACTTTAACTTAGGTATAACAAAAAAAAATCTTTTACATTTGTACAAATTGACTTAAATATCCTTTAAAAAAATCATATCTATTTTTTTGGTAATTATCTTATACGATTAAATATAAATTTACTTTAACAATTTTAATGTCTTTATTTAAAATATCTATATCAACTGATTTTATAATTTAATTAATCTTCATCTAACAAATAAATAAATTTTTATCATATTAACTTATAAACCAAAATTAATATCATACAATATTATTGTTTTTTAGAACGTCGAAACACTTGTAATATGTAAAAAAATATATGATCTGAGTTCTTATAAAATTGAAAAGCCTTATTTACGTTATTGGTAAAAAAAAAATCATTTACTAATATGCATAAAAAACGTTTTTACCAATTGAGAAGCTTAACCTATGTACTTGGTATTAAAAGTTGGATGGGTTTTAACTTTTGATAATTATAATTTAGAAAAATTAATTTATCATCATTATATTTCAATTTTAGTTTATATTCATATGTCATTTTATGTAATTTTATATATTTTAAAAGTTTTCAGCTACTTGTGTCGAACATTTTTATACAAATAAAACATACATCTTTCAGCTATCAAATACTTTTTTCGAACACCTCTCTTTCAGCTCAGATACTTTTGTCGAACACCTCTTTTATATATGATTAGTTAATATCAACTAATATATAATATAATATTACAAATATTAATTAATATGTTTGAAATATAACTAGTTAATTACAACAAACTAGAAGGCCCATCATTTGACATGTGGTTGATAGTGTTGTATGTTTGCTTCCATGAAAACCATAGGGTAGCCTATGACACTTGGATATCAGACCATGGGGGTAGCCATGACACTTGGATATCAGACCATAGGGGTAGCCCATGACATTTCAGGTAAAGACCATAGGGTAGCCCATGACACTTGGATATCAGACCATGGGGGTAGCCCATGGCATTCGAGGTAAAGACCATGGGGGTAGCCCATGACAATTATATGTATGTTGCATAACTCTTTGTCGTTGTATGTGTGTAATATTTTGGGAAACTCGCTAAGCTTTTGCTTACAGTTTATTTGGATGATTTCAGGTACTTCCGGTACTAAGGGAAGGGCCCGGCGTGATGGCACAACATTTACTCTCCAGTATTTTTCCGTATTTATTGATATCGATACTCTAATCTTTTGATATGACTTGATGTAATTTTTGGTAACAAATTGTGAATGAAATTCCTATTTTAAAAATGAAAATTTTTATCTGGTTTTTGGTTTGTTACAAGTGGGAACCCTAGGAGAGCCTAGAAAGTGCTTTAGTGTGAATGGTGCGTTGTTTAGAGATAGTTTTGGGAGTATTATTATAAATAGGTGACTTACAGGATTCAGGATAATTCTTAAGGAAAGTACGGATATGTGTGGACGGTAGTATTGGTCTCGTACTACTAAAAGCATTGGATCCGTACTTGAATCAAGGAAAGTCACGAGGATTCTAAGAAGCTTGTAGAATGAGGAATTCTTCGGGTATGTTTTGATCATTTGTATGGTTACCTTTAAGTATGGTGGTGAGAACTCGAGGAGGAGGTTCTGCTTCTGGTTCAGCTTCAGGTTCGGGCTCTGGAGCTGAGACGATTGATGAGAGGATACGCGAGTTCATTACATCAGAGATCACTCGCTGTATTTTGGATGCGGCTCTGTAAGGCTAATGGGAGTGGACGCGCTAAGCAAGTCGCTAAGGGATCGCTAGGAAGAAAGAATATTGTCCCTAGCTCTCGCTAGGGGGCTCGCTACGGGCGTAACGAGATGTGAAAGAAAGATAAGTGGATGGTGATTGGTTGTGGGGTATTTTGTATTCTTCTTTTTTTCAACACAAAATCTATTAAAATCATACACTACCACTCCCTACCTTTTTTCAACCTTTACATGCCAAGCTTATGTGGAAATAAAAAAAACCCATGTTGCAAAAAAAAACCCCCATGTGGCAATAAAAAACCTACGTTGCAATGTGCTAGGAGTGTTACCACTCCTTCCAGCCTAAGTGGAGCAGGAGAGATAAACATAAGGTCAAGGATAAGGGTTGTATTGTGGGTCCAAGGAATCAAAGATAAATATTAAATACCCCTTCAATCAGTTGATTAGCTTTTGACCCATAGGAAAATCAGGACAACCGATGTTCCCTCTTGTCCATAGCAGTAGGATGATGGACGTCCAAAGTCCGTATACATATATGGGGCTCTTCATGAGAAAAAAAAATGGAATTTGGAACATCTCTTTTCTTCTTAACAACATCCACTCTTCTTTCCTTTGTCTAATCAACACCATATACCAAGAAATAGTTGGTAACAGAATGGTGAATTTGTTTGCTATATTTCTTGGTTCTTAATCCTCACCGTCCGGGTCATGAAGAAATTCCTTTGAAAAAATCTCTCTTGGTATTTAAGCTCTATATCTTATCTTATCATATTATATTTATTGGAGTTATGAATGTTATTATATTTAATATTATTTTTGTAAAAAATATTATTAAAAGTGATGAAAAGGTGTTAATTATAGAAAACAAATAACTCAATAATATATAAGATATTCTATATAGTCATCTTATGTAACACCCTGTTTCGAATCGTTTCATAATTCGGGGTCGTGACCCAAAGACCGGTTATCACAAGGCTTAGGGCCTTTACAAAAGAGCCTTAGGCCCTCTTGAGTGCGGATAATGTAGGTTAGATGATCTGGGGGTTCGGTTTGTGTCTTGGAGTCCAAGGGTATAT